CCCCTAAACTCGGAATTTTGCCCAATACACAGGCTGCAGTTCACGTAAACCAATGCAAATGCTGTTACGGAATTCCCAGCAATTGTTTTCCGAACGGGGCTTTACAAAGGTATTACCCAACTGACGAACCTACGTATTCAAATCTGGTTTCTATTGCTGATTCTTTACGTGAACTCGCTGGCATGGAACCTCTTTATAACGAAATAAACCCAAGAACTGGAGATCTTTACTCTGGCAATGGCCATTTAAAAGACAAGCACGGTAATTTGCTTTACTAACTCCAAATAAAGTAGTTTGCAAAAGCAACAAACTCTTATTTTAATTTAAATAAGATTACAACGCAACTATGCAATTCTCACGTCAAGAAGGCAAACTAATCTTGATTTACAGCTAGTTAAATCTCAATTGCAGTAAACGTGACGTGTAGTACATGTAAGGTTTAACGTCTTACCAATCATAAATCATTTAAACTTTAGTTTTTGTTACGATCTAGATATGATCAATTAAAACTTTGCGATTGAGAAATTTTTTATCCTTATAATCAAAAGTTATTGTTGTATAATAATCAATAAATAATTCGAGCTTTGCATGTAAGTTTTTGTTTTTTTTGCTAAATTTTTTCGTAGCAGTTAAAAACACAACTTACCGCATAGTAAACTTTTTTATAAAGCTATATCATTTTTAAAAAGTTTTTTTTAGATTCCTAGACAAAGACTAAAATTTTAATTAAATATAAACCGCACAAACCCCCGTATACTTTTGATTCAGTATATTGTTCAAGTTGTTTTATTTGAGCAATATAGTCAGGATGTTATAAACAAAAGTTTTAGAAATATAACAAATCAATTGTCCTTTGTATAAAACACAACAATATTAGTCGTCCATTTAGTAAACATAGGCATTAGTATAGTTATAAAAGAATATACCAAAAATAGATATAGATTAAACACTTCTTTGAAATTTATAAAAAATTTATTTTATCAGTGTGATCTTGCGCCTGAATTTGCAAAAGTAAAACTCGAAAAAAATATTATACACTAATAATTATATAAAATCTGTAAGAGAAATTGTACCATCGGAGTTTAATAAACTAGACAAGTCTTATGAAGCCGAAAAAAATTTTTTTTTTATTTAAATTCAATGTCCGAGGAATATCTGGCAAGATATATCCCCACCGAATGTTTGACCTTTTTGCAACATGTTTCTACTAAAAAGTCGCAGTATAAAGTAAGTGTCAACCCATTGATTTTTGGTAGAATATTTTCGAACACACGGTTTCCACACTACCTGTTTTAACTTGCGGGTTGATAAACCTCCCCATCTTGGAAGGTGAAGAAGAATTTATTCATCTCTGTTACTATATTAGCGGAACTAATTTAATACTTTTAAACTACTTATCTAAAGAAGTTTATGCTTCGTTTACTAACTCAAAAGCTCCACTGACGGCTGCTGCTAGTCGGCCTGATGGCAAGGTTATCGCTTATGGCAACCAATCAGGCGATCTTTTTGTCATAGGTATAAAAAAAAAATTAAATATAGCTTCGTTTGAAGCAGACACTAGTTTAGTTTCGATATGTTTTATCAATGGCAACTTGTGGGTCGCTTCGATGTACTCATGCGGTACAATTCGAGTGTGGGAATTATCTTCTAAGTCAGCCCCAATTGCGGTTTACAAACAGTTAGAAGGTCTGATACCCATTGGTATTGAAAAATTTGGCACTGGCGATTCGACAAAAATCGTGGCAGTCACTAAAAACGGCACAATTGTTATATTCGAAACAGACACTGACGAGGTTTTGCACAAGTTCGAGTTGAACAAAGAAGTTACAGCTTTTTCCGTGCATAACGACACTTTGCTGTTAGCTGTTCAAAACACAACCGTTCGTCTCGCTTTGCCAACGTTTAATGTAATTAAAACAAGATTCTGTCACACTGAGCCCATCAATACCGTGAATTTAACGGATTCTTATGTTATCACCGGTTCTACGGACTGTTTTGTTAAACTGTTCAACAGTACGACTCAAAAGATGTGTCTCTCGCTCAAAACTGACTGTATCATCACAACTGCCAAATACAATGAGGAACACAACTTGGCCCTGTATGGGTTGAATAACGGACAGTTTTTTTGCAAACAGATTCTGTCAGTTAACCAAATCAGTCAGAATAATTTCAAAAGAGTTGAAAATCGACAAGGTTACTTGTATTTTTTCAGAGGTCGACATACAGAGGTTGAATTTGACCTCGAAATTGAAAACCCGACCAACAAGAACTTAAGCTACATTTCTACCAAAGTTTACTGTCCACCTTCGGTAGGAAAGCGTCTCGAACGATTTGAATTTAAAAAAGCGTTGTTTACAATGATGAAGATAAAACCAAATTATTTTATGCTACTTGTGGAAGACTTAATAACAGAGAACGTGTTGATTAAAGCAGTTAACGGTCTCACCGAAACCGAATTCCTAAAGATCGTCACGTACATTAAACGATACCAGGCAAGCAACTGTTTACTTCCGTACAAATCCACACTTTTTCTGTTTATTTTAACGATATTGGAGAAAAACTACTGGATCAAAGAATCATGCGATGAAAACGTATTTTACGGATTTTTTTTTATGTGTCAGTGCATCATGAGCCAAGTCTCGGACGCAGAAACTACTAAATCACTATACAACCTTATTAGTCAGTTTTTAGGAAAAAAAGCTGCTCAGTTAATTGACATGACTAGCGCCAGATGCGAGCAATTATACAAGCTTTTTAGCAACGCTTAAATCCAAGTCGTTATACTCGAATGAACTTTGAAAAATAGAGCGGCCCGCTGCCGTGATTATCGCAGGGCAGGATTAAAAAGCCGAACTTCGTACGACGCAAGACCAGTTTTTTTTGCGATTTATCAACGGTGTCATGTAAATCGACCACGTTGTAATCGCAATTTATCGCTAAAGTAAAATCATCACCGATTGTAAACTTATTCTTAAATTTGGCTTTGTTCAAGATGTACTCGACAACTTCATCATTTTCACCGTTCAAAATAGAGCAAGTGCAGTACAACAGTTCTCCAGTATTTGAAAGCATTTCGAGTGACGTCTCGAGAAGTTTTTTTTGTCGGTGTGAATTTTTTCGCATTTTTGCCTCGGACCACGAAGACATTGACGGATCTTCCATTACATGAAATGAGTCACAAGAGCACGGTGCGTCCACGAGGATTTTATTAAAAGGCATATATTTTTTGAGGTTTTGATTATTTTGCGTTGCATCGCCAGTTGTAATTTTAATGTGTCGCCGTTCAATATCAGGAAAAATTTGATCAATATTTTGTTTTAGACGGACAACACGAGGCATAGATATGTCGTTCGCGATAACCATCCAGTTACCGTCTAGCGCGGCTAAGTAACTTATAATTGACAATGTTTTCCCTCCGGGTGCTGCACATATATCTAACACTTTATCGTTGTGTCCAAACTTAAAAACGGACACGATCACTACGCTAGCTAAATCTAAAACCGTTTTTAAACAAGTTCAAATTCTTGTCACACGCGTGCCAATCACAGCACAAACTTTATGTAGATACTTACCTAAATAGTACACATCGTTGGTCGCGACGTTTTTTCTGCCCGTTACATATATATTAGACGCGGCGAACAAATTTTCTTTCTGATCAGAATCCGCCGTTCCAGCTCTAGATCCCCACCAACATTGTATTTCACAATATCGTTCAGGCTCATTTAATAAGGAAATTTTTAATTCATCCCATAAATTTTTATAAAAAATTTCATTATAAATATCCCAAGATACCAAACTCGACATAATCAAATTATAAAGCAAAAACTTGTTTGTTGTTAACAACCGTTATTTAGTTAACTCCGCCAAATTAAAGAACTAATTCGCACCTCGCACGCCGCTGAAAATCCGCCCAAAAAATAATTAACACGCAACCAACCTTTTTGTGTTTATTATTTTATTAACGAGTTAATAATTTTGTTATTATATTGAAATTACAAATTCATTAATGAGAAACATTACATATAAATATTAAAAAAATAGGTATTTGAAAATTAACATTACAAGAACACGCTTTTCCTCAAATCAGATTAATAATATTTTTCCACGAAATTAATTTAGAATTCGGTTGTCAATGGACCATTCGCACAAGGACGTAAGTTATTTCTAAGCAGCAATTTTTTTTAGAAACAGCCACCAAATTGTCTAGCAGACTGCGGCTTCTATGGCAGCGCAGCTACGGAAGGTTATTGTTCAGTTTGCTACAAAACACGCATTGCGAAGCAAGTTGCAGCTTTGGGAAATGATATTCAGAAAACCCGAACCAGCTGCGGTTCGACCTATTCTCCGGAGCCCATAGTAAATAATAAAGAAATTACCTCAAATTTTTCAATCTATTCCGACAACTACTCTAACAACACTAATAAACTCATTGAATCAGACGAAGCAAATGCCAAATCTAAAAATGTTAACTCAAAGGCAATAAATATAGACAAAACCAGATGTTCGCGGTGTCACAAAAAACTTGGTATTATGGCATATCAGTGCCGTTGTAAACATTATTTCTGCAGCTCCCATTTACATTCTGAAACACACGAATGCGCTTTTGACTACAAATACCTCAATAAAACTTCGTTAAGCAAAACGGTGACAAAAATTACACCAGACAAAATTAATAGATTTTAACCCTGTTCTGCAAATCATCTTTCATCATATACAATTCTAGTTATATATGTCTTTTTGTTTTTCTCTTGCAGTAAGAATTCATTTCCCAGTACGGCTGGCCAAGCAAAACGTTATCATTACGGCTTCGTATACTCAAGTTAAGCTAGTTTTGATTCTCTCTAAATAGCTTTATTTCGTTCTAGTCAGCCAATTCTGTTCACTTATACGATCCTATGTATTATCAACATATATCTTTAAAATTTATCACTCTTCAGGAAACCTGATGCCTCTGCATTACGAATAGTTAAACTAACATTTATTTAGTTTAATCTCAGTTTTCAGTTAATGTAAAAACTTTCTCTAGATTTATACGAAAAGTTTTGAGATTCTATTACAGGTGTCTTTCCCCAAAACAAGTTATCTTTGAGAGACATCAACCACAGATCTTGCATCCTATCGAAGCCTAGAAATACAATTGGGTTTTTATCTTCGGAAATAGTTACATGGGAATCGTAGTCCAATTTCTTCAATGTCTCTCCATCTACGCGAATCGTTGCGTCTGTACGACTGTCTTCGTTCAGTCGCACTTTAATTAAGCTTGACGCTTGAATGACAATAGGTCTAAGCGAGAGTGAATGCGGACAAATCGGGGTTATAATGCTGCAGCGCACAGCAGGATCAACTACACTAGCCCCTGCGGCCATGCTGTAAGCAGTAGATCCAGTCGGCGTGGCTATGATAATGCCGTCTGCTACTACTGTGATGTAGTAGGTATCATCGATAAACACGTCTAATTTCCGCAGCCCCGAACAAGCACCTCGATCAATCACGCACTCATTCAAAGCACGAAATGGACCTTCGACTATTCCGTCTTTATTATACACAAAAATTTCCAAGGCGTATCTTTTTTCATATTTCAAAGAAGCGTTATTTGGATTTTCAATATACTCAAATACCAAGTTGCTTACTTCGTCTACATACGTCCGGTTCAAATAACAAAGCGATCCCAGCGCTACGGCTATCACTTTTGGAACGGTTTTTCCTTGAAAAAGTTTCACGGAACGAAGAGTCGTTCCATCCCCTCCAAGAGAAATAATTAAATCAATCTTACTAGTTTCACAATTGAAAATGTTTACTTTTGAAAGTAGCCGACTGTCAAGATAGTTCAGTGTTCTTGATTCTAAGTAGATCTCTAATTTTCTGTTAGTTAACAATTCAAGCGCCAGAACTATAGCCGCATCGATGGCATCTTGCGAATCTAATTTCAATATGAACAGAACTCGACATTTTTCACTAGTCGGCGTGTCGAGCTCAATCATTACTGAAATCCATTATTTGATATTCAGATGCGAACAATTAATAAAATTAATTTACAATAAAGGTCTATATAATTCAAAAATTAATTGTATTCAATATTGTAACACAAGGAAAATAAAAATAAGAAACAAGTATTTGTCTAGTGCACTTGTAAATTTATCTTAGAAAATCTGGTTGAAATCAGCCTACTTACGCACTGTAAAGAGCTTTGATTTCGTTCTGATACTTTTGTAAAATTTTGCGTCGTTTTAGTTTTTGAGTAGGAGTCAAAAGATCACTATCTTCAGAAAAATCTTCGTCGACCAAAATAAATTTCTTAACTTTTTCAAATCCATTTAATTTAGCAGCTGCGGCATAGTCGTTGAGCTCTTGTTGAATTTTTTTGTGAATTTCATTATAGTGGTTTGATAAAATTTTAGAGTGATTGCAGGTAATTTTGTTTTCAGACATCCATTTTTTCAATGCTTCGTCATGGTCCAACACAACAACAGCGACCAAAAAGTTGCTAGAAAGCTGACCATGAACGAACATGTTTTTGATGAAAGGACTGTTAATTAAAATATTCTCAATTGTTTCTGGAACAACAAACTCTCCTTGGTTTAATTTAATGCAGTTACTTGCTCTGTCAACGACCTGGAAACAACCTGCAACTGGGTCTCTGATGAGAATGTCTCCAGTCTTATACCAACCGTCTTTGATCGCTTCCTTTGTAGCTTTAGGGTTTCTGAAGTAACCGACAAACAAGGGTGGACCACGAATGTAGGCTTCTCCTTTCATAATTTCGTCGTTGACCTGAATTTCCAAATCAGGAACACTGACAAGCTTGACCTCTGTAACGCTTAAGGGTCCACCTACCTGTCCGTAATTGTTGTCCTTAGAAATAGAACAGAATGTTGTTCCAAAAGTTTCAGTCGACCCATACCCTTGCATGACAGGAATGCTAAAAAGGCAAGCGATCTTTTCTTGTAGGTCCCGCTCAAGCAAAGCACCTCCACTAAGCATATACTTTAACTGCCCACCGAGAACATCTCTTATTTTCTTAAACACAATTTTATCCCATAAGAAATGTTCGAAAGCACCAGTTTCTCTGAATCTTTTTATCTTTATGTCTAACGCTTTGTAAAAGAGTTTCTTTGATACCCAGCCTTTCGTCTCAACCATACCTTCTACTTTGTTGTACAATGTACTCAAAAGTCGAGGTACAACGCAAAGTAAGTGGGGTTTGGCGATTTGGGTGTCCGAAGCAAGTCTGTCTACTTTTCCGGAGACTAAGGCAATTCTCATACCGAACGATATGCAAATCAGAAGCATTATTCGTTCGAAAATGTGAGATAAAGGTAAATAAGAAAAGTAACAGAAATCTGGGATCAAGTAAAATGTATTCACGCTGTTTTGGTATATATGCACCGCTAACACTTGAGCAGCAAAAGCGGACTCTGTTAAAAGAACACCTTTAGGGTCTCCAGTTGTTCCACTGGTGAAAGAAATTGTTCCTACCGCTTCAGGCGCTGGAGGAGTAAAATCAAGCAGTGGTTCGTGCTTAAATAGAAGATCATCCCAAGAAAATAATTTGATATTGTATTTGCTCAGACGCTTGTGTATTTTGGTAAATTCTTTGAACGAATAGTCACCGTACATAACTACGTTGGCTAATTTGCAATTCTTAAATTCATCTTTAGGCCATGTATCAAGGATTTCACAAATTTTTTTGATTCCTTCAAGTGAACCACATACTGTTTTTAGGCTGGCTTTGAAACAAATGAATCTTAACGATGGGATCCCCATAGTACTGTAAAGCGGTATTGAAACTATTCCGTATGCGTGACAAACCAAATCAAGAATTATCCACTCTGATGTGTTAATAGAAATAAGCCCGATTGCGTTAAATTTCTGAGCAGGACCATACTCTTCGTCAGAGAACACAGACGGTTTCTTGGGGTCAATAATTTTGTTATTAATCAAGGCAGAACCGATTTTTTGAATAAGCTTCATTCCATCCAAATAAGTAATGTAATTATACTTCTCGTCACCTTGTCTTTTACCCAAGAACAAATTGTTAGGGTAAAGACTTACTGTATGGCAAAATACATCCCAACTATTTTTAGCTTCAAAGCCGGAATACGTAGTTATAAAACCTGACACAGCATTAGGTGATCTGAAGGCACAAGTTTCCGAGCCGTCACTGGCTATGTAGTTTTTTAGATCAACAGGTACCGAATAACAAAAGTGTTCTTGCGACATTTTATAAACCTAATATTATAACAATAAAAAAATCTATTAAAGTGTAAAGAAAAATTTTAAAATTTATATTTACTTTTTTTTGGAGGCGTAAAATAACTTTTGTCGTTTGCAAATTTAGAAAACAATGTAGGTTGCAAAAGAGGCTCTGATTTCGTTTGATCAATTTCTGTTTGTGAAAAATTATTATAATTAATTGGCATTTCTGGCTGAGAATGAGGAACTGGGTTCGCTCGTCGTTTCATTTTATGCATTGGAATCTCAGCGTTATTGTCATACAAATTTTGATCTAAAGATCCGAGTGGCTGAATGTTGTTTAAATTGAATACTTCCATTGCGGCTTTCTCATTCGGCACGAAATTAAAATCATTATAGTCATTTGGCGAATTTCCAAATGTAATATTACTTAGAGCTAAATCACGATTCGCCTGATAGACGTCAACGTCAGAAGCTACCTCTCTTAAAGTTTTAGTAATCGGAGTACCTGAAGCGTTGCTCAATGGGGTTTGAACGTTTTCAAACGCTGAGACTGATGTTTTTGGCGAAGATTGTTCTTGTTCTTCGATATTGCTGTCATTTTGTGTCAGAACAGTATCAAATTTTTCATCGGAATTTGTATCATTTTTTTCATCTTGCGACCAAATAGTTTTAAATTCTTCTTCGTTATTTTTTTTAGTTTTTAATAAAGGGCTTTCAGAATCAAATTCGATTTTCTTCTTAGCTTTCTTTACAGCAGATTCAAATTTTAAAATATCTTTAATATTCTTCCTCAATAAAGTAGCTTTTTCGAAATCATTTCTATCGCTACAAGATCCAGATAAAATAGATTCATACCTTGCTTCAAAGTCAACTCTATCGTTTGATAAAGAACGTTTACGACGTGGTTCAGAGTCGCTACAGTATTCTGATGGAACATTTTCACATTGGGAATCATTGCCTTGTTCCCCCTTTACTGATTTAAAAAAACCACTGGAATATTCACTTGGTTTCTTTGTTTCATACATCAACGCTCGTTTATGAGCACTTCGTTTATCGTCATTAAGTACATGAATCGCTGTTTTTGGATTTACACAAAGTGGTCTCCTCTCATCACTAGACGACACGTAATCTACATCAATAGAAACTGAATATATCTTAGATTCGCGAGTGCGTTTAGGTTTTTTTAGTACGCTAGTTTCTATTGCTTGACTAGATTCCCTAGAACCAGATTTTTTTTTTTTGTTGTTCTTACTGCTTTTGCCTCTATTTTGAATTGTAGTACGTGTGTTTTGTACATCATCCGATTTAATACTTTCAACATTTGATTTTTCTGGAATTGGAGCTAGAGAATTTAAGATAGTACTATTTTCAGGTGATGCCAATTCGTCAGAGCCAAATCTAGGTTCAGTTTCAGATAATTGAAAAATTTTATTTGCTTGGTCATCGTTTTTTTCAAACTTTATGTCAACGTTCGTTTCGTCTTTTTCATCATCTATCTCATCTTTTTTTGGAATGTTAAAGTCATTGCTGGCTTTAATTTGTTTTTCGTTATCATATTCATTATTAGATTCCGATTTATGATTAGGGATACTTCCATTGCCTGACCCAGACAAATCTGTTAATGTTTTATCTACAGATGAATTTGAATTATCCTCAATAAAAGAGGGTTCCTTTATTTTTATATCTTCACAGTTTCTAATTTTAATAGCAGATGCTAGTTCAATTCGTTTTATCATTATTGGTTTTTTTTTAGTAGTTTCATTGTTAACCGAGCCAGTATTATCGTTGAAACAATTTTGTGAAGTTTTGTCTGTCTGTGAAACAGATGTAAAGTCGATATCTAAATTAGAGTTTCCGAATGAAAATGAATCAGTAGATCGTTTTTTTTTTCTTTCTTCAAAATAACCTGTAGATTCTTCATTTTGAGTTTTTTCTAAATCATTGTTTTGTGTTGCATTGCTTGGAAAAAAATCAAGCTTGTTTTTACCAAGTGATAATTCAGGAAAATTTCCCGATTTTTGATTTAATGAACTCCTGTTACCGCTGAAAAGCTTTTGTGAAGCTTCATTTAGTTCAAGCTTAGTACCGAATGAATTTAAGTTTGAACTCAATTCGTTGCTAAACATCGTATTTACGGTGGTAGACAAAATAGATGGAACATCACTAGTTGCAAAATTCATTTTAGGGAAACCGCTAGCAAATTGAGTTAAATAATCTTGTTTCAATTCAGCAGATTTATTAATTTGGTCATTTTCTGAATTTTGTGTGAAACTTCTACTTTCAATTGTATTTTCAAAGTCAGGCTTTGTGTTAAAGAGTGCAGAACTGTAAACTTTTGAAAGATCAATATCGTCTTCCTTAGTGCTATAAGCAGTTTGCAATAATTTTTCAGCACAATCATACTCGTGATCAGCTGATCTATTAGTTTTAGGATGGCTTTTATTCGCAAGTTGAGGTTTTGTCAAATTAATCCCAAACGCATTGCTTTGAAAATCTATTCCTAAAGGTTCATTAAACATAGATGGAATAATAGGAGAAATTAATGATTCAGACGGTTTTGGTGGAAGGTAAGAAGCATTCTCATTATTTTTGTTATTTTCATTTTGGTCGCTAGAATTTATAGCAGTATTAGTCAAACTATTGGCAGCTATATTATTATTTATAGAGAATGAATTGTTGTTTAGGACATCTAAAGTGTTGAGTTCATTAAATGAACTTTGAAACTTGTGGAAACCGTTATGACCGCCCGCATTATTGTTGAAGTCACTAGCAGTCGAATAAACTTTCTCAGTTTCAAGCGAGTCGTGCACGACGTCTGTTTCATGCTTCGAATTGTTGAAGTTAGTAATTTTAAGCGTATCATTATTATAAATAGTACTAGGCATATATTTTTTAAATTCACCAGTTGTATCACCAAAATTTAATTTACCAATATCAGGAAAACTAAATTTAAGAGCAGGATTTCCTTCGAATGATTTATCATTATTCCAAGTCATTCCGATATTAGACGTCAAATTTTGTCCTAACAAACCAAACTCTAAGTTATCTTTTAGCTTTGTATCATGCTTAGCAGTTTGACTAGTTTGCTGCGATTTTTCAGTGCCTAACTTAGACTTATACTGCTCCATGAATTTGTTGTGGTCAAATGAATCGAAAGAGAAATCGAGCTTATTTTTTTCATCTTTATCAGTAGTATCGTTTATGGGCTTAGAACTGTCATTATCTAACTCAAAAATATTTTGTTCTGCAGATTTTTTACAATTAAATGAAGTGAAAGAAAGCTCAAGATTTTGTTTTTTGTCTTTATCAGCAGCTTCATTAATCGTTTGAAATTTTTCAGAACTTAAATTCAACTTATTCTTCTCCAAAAGTTTATTATGATCAAATGAGTCGAAAGAAACGTCAAGTTGTTCAATTTTATCTTTATCAGCAGTTTTATTAACCGCTTGAGAATTTCCATCACCTAGTGACGATTTAATTTGTCCTGATAAAGTGTCATGACTAAACGAATTAGATATCAAGCTATCTTTTTGTTTTAAATTGCTATCGATGGTTATATTAAACGTGTTAGGTTGTTCTATAGCTGAATTTAATTTATTTTGTTTTAGTGATGTATCCAAACCAAATGAATTAGAAGATAAAATTTCAATTTTCTTTGTACAAGTATCATCAGTTTTATTGGTTGTTTGAATTTTCTCAGGATCTGAACTCGACACAATCTTTTCTGAAGATTTTTTTTGACTTAATGGATCATATATCAAATTAGAAAAATCTAACTTATTGTCAACTTCACCTAATAGGTGGTTGTCATTTTTAGGGGGTTCGTCGATTGAAACTGCGTTAGTTTTGTCGTTATGCAAATTAAGTTTTTTTAGACTGATATCACTTGTCTGAGTGCTATCAGTTAAACTTGCCAAGTTTAATTTTGAAGTGAACGCATTTTTGATGTCATTTAAATCTTCACGAGCAATAGAAACTTCTTGTTTCTCTAAATTGTTTTTATCTTGTAATGCCTTGTTACAAATTATCAAATGGGTTAATTTTACGGAATCCGTATATCCAGCGCCAAAAGTAAATTTTTTCAAACAACTACAGCAATCACAGTTTAATTTTGTGCTTGGGTAACTTTCACTATCTGACTTTTTAGTATCAAGCTTTTCTTCAGGTATATTCTCTTCTTTAGATTGCGGTCCATACGCAACATTATTTAATTTTAACGTTACCTTTGTTAGTTTTTCTACACCTAAAGATGAATGTTTTAAAAAGGAAGTTGAATCTTCATTATTATCCGCAATAGCTTTTATTGGTAATCCTTTATTGGTTAGAAAAACATAGTCTTCATCATCTGAATTTTTTAAACGCAAAGGCAGCCAGGAAACTAATCCATCATTGAGTAATTTATCTTTCGAATACTTTCCGACATTAATATGTGATTGAATATTTCTTCTATTAGAATGTAAATTACTGAAATTTCTTTTTGCGATTTCTGAGAGTCTTTTGTTCTTATTTATTTTTTGAACTTTTGTATCAGACGAGAATTTAAAAACAGCAGATGTTTTTTTAGTAACCTTGTAAGAACTAAATTTGTTTATAATCCAGTCTGCCACACCGGTTAAAAAATTTGACATTGTTCTGAGACAAATTCTGAAATATTATTATTTTATTATCCGCAGCAATAAGCTCAATTACTTGCTTCTAATATTTTTTTCAAACAAAAATACCTTCAAAAATATTAATATAAAAATTTTCCCCGAATAATTGAAACATTATACGCTCCTTTAGCAAAGAAGATACCCTTTCTTTGTTCAATTGACATTTTTTAATTTGCAATCCAAGGTTATATGTTAAAATAGCTGTTTCTTCAACGTTTTCCCATATTTTCTTAATTTTATTTTGAAATTCTGTAAAAAATAAATCTATATACTTGCTTCCTCTGAACATTACCTTAAATTCTCGATCGCTGAAAAATATGGAATTTGTAAACTCACCGGAAATTTTCAAAAGCTGTTTTAATGTTTAATTTAATGACATCAATTTGTTGTGACGTAGTTTTTACAAAATAATTTGACGCAAGTATTGACTTACCATAAATTGGAAAACAGCAATCATTTATTTGATTAATTAAAGTTTTAAAATTATCTAAAACAACACAGTTATCAGCGATGTGTGTACTAAGCTTATTAGAATTTAAATCATTAGAACTGTTATATTTGTTTAGCTCGAACGTAGTATTTAAATCAAGCAAATTACTGTCTGTAGAAACAAAAACCTAAGAATAGATTTAATTACAACTTACTTTAAAACTAAGAATTTCGAAAATGGATTGGTCACAATCAAGAATCCAGATGGACGTATTTCCACTCGATATGTAACTAACGTTCTTTACATAGTCAATCACAAGATTAGACTTCAATTTGAAAAAGCCAATATTATTCAAAATTAAAAACATATAAAGTTCTAAATCTGTTAAAAACTTTTCTTCCCACAATAATTTGTATTTTTTTAATAAAGGATCATTATAATGAGTTCGCGATTCTACAATATTTGAAATATAATTTTTATTTTTATTATAATTTAAAATATAATTTGTATAATTATGACGAATTTCGAAAATAAAATTAGAGTTGAAAATAGATACGATAGTGTCGATTATTTTTTCGTTTTGTATCATGTTTGCAAATTCTAATGATATTGAATAACTTCTATGCTTAGTCATATAGATTTCAAGAATTGTATCGTCTTGAAAACATGACTTCAATGCAACTGAAAGTTTGTTAAGCTTATCTAGAGTTTGGTGCTGTTCAAGCATATTTATTTTTTTTTACAATAGATCTTTCACACAAGATTATCTAAAAAAATTAATATATCTTGTAAAAGTTTATTCATTTGTTCTGAAGTCTCGGAAAACCTTTCTAAGATATAAGTAGTATCGAACGAAAAAGCATATTCTTTGGCTTTTGTAAGATCATCTGGTAACTTCACATAAGATTGATTTGTATCATCAAAATAACCATAAACTACATCTAATATATATTGTGATTGATTAAGAGCTAGATTATCAATAATTTTTTCGGATGAGTAATTTCTTGCTATATATCTTTCTTCCAATAAAGGACTTGATGCATGTAGAATAATAATTAGATTGAACCAACGTTTAAGTGCAAAATCTTCTAGAGTATGAAAATCCACGACAACCCTTTTTTCTTTTAACTCATTTGTAATAAGATTATCTAGTCTTTGATAAAGACGTTCTCCGTCATATATTGTACAATCTCTAGTTGTATCAAAATCATTATAAATCTGTTCGTTTTTAATTAATTCAGCAACGTTCAGATAAAAAAAGTTTTTACGAAGTTTGAGATGTTTACACAAAGTGGTTTTTCCAGTTCCTGGCAAACCAGTAACTAATATTCTCCAAAACTTCATTGTTCTTTTTATGAAGTTACTGTGAGTTTTTACCTTAAATTATTTTTTTTTGTCTAGAAAATTATAATAAAAATAACTATCGCTATGTATTCGTTGCTAAACAATTCGATTAAATGTTGAAGTCTTTTATTTTAGACTGTAAAAACCTTACTGAATTTAAAAAATTACCAGGCAAACGACGCATTTCAAAAAAAAAACAGTTGGAAATCAAAACGAATGATTATTGGAAAGAGAAATTTGTGAATATTTCTCGTTGGGTTGAATTTCTACCAAATTATAAGTTAATTTATGTTATGATTGGAAACGTCGACCATAGAATATTTTTTGCTGATGACATTGAAGATTATGTTTCAATGTCGATAACACAAATAATTTATTCTTTGCAACGAACCGGTTTTCCTGCTAAAAAAGTAACTGCTGGAGTAGATGCTTTGCTTAAAGCCTTGGATAATCCGTCAATAAAGGTAATTATAGTATTAAATGTACCGTCGCTCAACGTAGTAAAAAAATACATCTCGTTAAAATACTACCCAGGCATTTTTTATTATTTAGATTGTATGCTCGACTACACATTGCACAATAATGATCTCTCGTATTTTACTTTCTATACATTTAAAGATCGAACTGTCTGTGAGAAGATTTCTAATATTGATAATGGAATAGAAAATGAATGTTTTAAATCGATTAAAAGAACAGTTCATTTAAAGAAGCAGCTTTTTTATATTTTAAAAGTTTTACAAATGCTGAAAAAACCTGAAAAAAAATATTTATTCTTGATCTTAGTTTTGTTAAACAAGCTTGAAAACAGATTCAACTCCAATTACGCTTATTGTAATTGTTTTAGTTGTAATATTACTAGTACCTTGATTGGCTTGATGAATTTAGAAATTCAGTTATATATTAATCTAAAACTGCCTATTGAACTACTCAGGGATTTGACCGAATCAACTATTGATTTTTCAAAGCTAGTGACAGTAATGTCAAAAATCAAATTATCACTTATTTGTAACATCGAAGACGAAACTACCGGGTCTTACTGATAAAGTTTAATTATTTCGTATTCCTCGGCAATCTTTTTTATGCTGATCAATTCAAATGGGGTAACAACATTGTTGTTGTATTTGATTGAATCTTGAACCTGTGGAACAAACGCAGCAACAAAGTAAAAATCTTCATCACCTAATTTAGAAAAATCAGGAAAAACATTTTGTTGTAATACGGGCGTCATAAAAGATTCGCAGAACGCCTTTTTAAATTTATTATTTGTTTCAAAAAATTCTACATCATCCTCATTAAGTTTAACGTCCATGAAAAGTTTGCCTATGGTGGATTCCATGCTATTTTTATATAATTCTAATTCGAATCCCTTGAGTGATGTTTGGTAGAGTACAGTTGGGAAGCATTTTTCCAGAACTCCATTATCGTTTTGTATTTCTGGAAGTTTTTCTCGACTCAACTTGATGGGTTTGTTTGTCACATCGAATGCTATTTTTCTCTTTACTAACTGTTCTTTTATTTCAAAAAATTTTTCATCGGGTATTATGAAGCTTGATGTCGCAAAATACAGATATTTTAAATTATTAAATTTCAGAATATCGTCTAATTCTATCTCTAAAATACATTTCCCCGTTTTTTTAGTGTATTCAGAATTACTTAATCTAATAAATTTGTTTATCAATAACGCTTGGAGTTGTTCCTGAGTATGTTGCAAGATGATTGTTTTATTGTTGGTAAAAAAAGCGCTGGAAGTACAATTATCGATTTCTTTGTGAAACCAATAAAAAACATGTTTGTTATCACCGTTATTTAAAAGTTCAGCAACGATATATAAGCTGACTTCTTTCACAGTTATTAATACATTTTTAACGTTTAAATTGCATGGAAAAGAGCTTATATACGAATAGTTGAACCAAACATCACTTTTGTGCCGAATTAAATTCGAGTAAGTTGATAAAAAATCAGATTTTGCTAATTTTTTTTGCCATAAATGAAAAGGCTGTGTTGGATTGTTGGTGGTTGACCTAATACATGGGATTTTTTGAACCATAAATTTTTATAATTTTTTAAGAAAATAAAATACGAAAAATTAGTTACTTACATTTCGTAGCATTACAGATTTAATTATTCTGATTCGGTATTTGACAGCACTGATGCAACCTGATGTGGTTGGGATTTGGAAAGCTTTCTTAGACGCTATCGATAAGGATAAGGACACTTTAATAAATCTGATTGGAGAATTTCCGTCTTTTGTACAAACGGTCCACAATTTAAACGTACAACAAAACTTTAATGATATTGATAAGATCGTTAATAAACTTACACTGCATACGCCTTATTTTCTCGAGTGTGAAAATGTAAAACAAAACGCTATTATAGTTAAAATTAATTCGTCGTATACTAGTACTAGCGTACGCTATTTGATAATTTTAACTGAATTTTCACTTCTGAACATTAAACTAATTAAATCTCTTTCAAGTTGCTTACTTGTTGTTCCTTGTTTTTATAGATGCGTAGAAATACCGAAAAAATCAGACTTTGAGTATATTTTAATAAGTGAACGTCCCAGAGTAACTATTAATCTCGTATAATATAAAGAATAAAATATTATTTTTATTGAAATTTTATTATTAAAAATGGGCTAGGTTCCTTGTGTTGTTTTTAATTTGGACACCAACTAGTAACCGAATGAAATGAAAACAGAGAATAAAATCAAAATTTTATTGAATAATATTTTGCAGAGGTTGCTTTTTCTAAAAGACCAAATAACCAATATAAATGCATTAAACGATGAAACTAACAATATAATTTTGGCAAACGACAAAATCAGAAGCGAGATAGAAATTTTAAAACTGAAATCTGAACAAACCCTTATTAAAGTGGGCTTGATTGGTCCGTATTCAAGACGAGTTAGTGAATATTTGGAAAAAAATAACACGGTTACATTATCGAGTCTATTAACGTTTATAGCCGAATCTAAGTCATCACTTCGTACAAAAATCAATTGTTTAAATAACGAATACGATTCAAAGGTCATAGAAGTTGTTAATTTAGATAGTACGGATTCAAATAATGATAATGCATTCGATCAAACTAATTCATTGCAATTCAATAATCGAGAATTGGAGAACGAAACGTTCAAAAAAATCGACGATAACTGCTATAAAGATGATGATCATTATTTAAAAATAAACTTAGGATTCAGACCAGGCTTATATTTGTCTGGAGCTAAATATAATAAAGCTTTCAACGACTTGAAAATAATAGAAGAATCTTATCAACTATTAACTGTTATAGTTGATTATGACAAGTGCCACAACAATATAAAGTTTTTGTATGATTATATGGTTTATCATGATGAGATAACTAATTCTCTAAAAGGCTTCCAGTATTTAAACCCATATGAAAAGGAAATCGAAATTTTTAAAAAGTATATTAGTAATTGCGACTATAGTGCTGAAAATCCAGATTACATAAAACACCTTTCAAACGTTAATTTCGATTTGTTATTTTCTATTAACGAGAGTAAACACCAATACAAAAATTACGGTGGTCAAGATTGTCATGAAATACAAAATAATAAATATCATTCGCAAAAGAAGGGTTATGAATACATTTGCACTGATGCAAAGTTTATTGAACTAATTAACGAGTTTACAAAAATTCCTTATGAAGATAGATATCTAGCCATAGATTGTGAATACAACCAATCTAGATCTTATTTTGGAATATTATGTTTAATTCAAATTTCTTGTGTTTTAGGAAACTATATAATTGATACCCTCGCTATTTCTAAAAAAGCTTTGTATAAATTTAATATAGTGACAACAGACCCTACTTTTTTAAAGATTTTACATGGGTGTACCGGTGATATATCTTGGTTACAAAGACACTTTGAGATTTATGTCGTTAACATTTTTGACACCTACATAGCTGGTAAAATTACAGATATAAACGGCCGTTTTAGCCTTTTGGCACTTGTTAAAAAGTTCCTGAATGTTGAACTTGACAAAGAAGCACAACTGAGCGATTGGACTATTCGTCCGTTATCTCAAGAACAACTTAACTACGCGATAAACGACACTAAGTATTTATATAAACTTTTTTGTGCTATAAAAAAAGAAATTTATACGTTGACGCAGCGCCCTAAAAAGATTTTAAAAGATATTTATTTATCTTCTGCTAACCTTGGTAAGGCAAGATATACTAATATTCCTAAAAAATATTCTGATATCGTTGATGGATATTTTAGAAGAATAAAAGCATTTCCGCCTTGCGTTTTAAATTATTATTCTTTAGCCGTGATTCTAGTGTGGAAAGATTTATATTCCCGATATCACGACATAGCTCCGAATAAAATATTAACCCACAAAAAAATAGAGTTATTATCCCGCAGTTTTAATGGTCCATTCCCAAACATCAAATCCATTTGTAAGCAAAAAATAAGTGAAATTATCGAAGACGTAAAACATATTGTAAATCATAAAAATGATGTCCATATTGACCAGCCTTTATTTAATCAGAAAAAGCGACAATTTAGGTTAGGTGTTCCCAATAAGTCAAAAATTGTTCGAATTTACATACCGGATACAGCTTCAAATGAGGATATAAATTTGTTCACGAAAACTTCAACAACAAGCAAAGCACGTCAAAACGAACTAATCTGTAGTTTTAAAAATAAACAAAAATCTACTCGCAAACTAAATCTTTTGAACGTCAATTCATCTATAATAAAAAACAGCAATTCAAATAAAAAAGTGTTTTTTAAAAGTGACGCCTTAATCCAACAGTGAAATAAGAAAGTTAATTAGCGATATTACCTAAAACTTTCCATTGTCGTTATCGACACTAATTTTTATTAAATTTAGGCTTTATAATACTATGTAACGGAAATAAAAAGTTTTTTAACGTATATTTATCAACATTGCTTTGTGGTGACGCGGTGTTAAGTTTATTACATTTATTTTCGGAATTCGATACAAGTTTTAGTATCTTTTTAGTGG